CAATATTTTTTGTGCTGTGTTATCTGACTCTTCGTTTTACTATATGGGCAAAAGAATTTGATTGTCTGCTTTCGCACGCATATGAATTGGACCTTTCTCTAAAATTTAGTGCTTTCTTCACCTGCATCTGTGTGTAGATGTTGCATGTGTGTGTGTGTGTGTGTGTATTGGGGGCTGTAGGTACACAGCAGGCAAGGCTATGTCAACACATAAAGTCTATAGGGAAGTGTGCTAAAGTCTCACTTTCATCATCCAGTTTTTATAGCGCATTCATAAAGTTGTGATTTTTTGTTGAACAGGCTTGAATTTAATTAATTTAGTTAATTCTTATCTGAATTTGTGTTGATGTATTTGACCTTACTTACCACACACCTTTCTGTATTACAACCAGCAACTCCATCCTAATCTCAGTCTGTGATGAGAACTATGTAGGTGTGGATGCAAGGATTTCTTTCCTAATATTCAAAACAAGCTGTAAAATTTAACACACTGCTGCTATAAATTTAGAGAGGATGACCCCTCTGGGACTAAAATGCAATAAAACCCAGCTTTACAGAATGCAATCTAACTCCTGTAGCCACTCTGTCCACATTTTGCTCCCTGCTTGCACACTTCTTTGCAACTTCCCAAACTCAGCACTTCACTTTGTGTTCACTGTGTGGATTTTAACACTTCGTAGCCTTAAAAAACAGGTCAGAGTGTTGAAATACTTCATGCAAGAGAGGTTGTTTTTTCATTTGTTCCTGTGCACATTTATATGCACGTCAAGCTGCCTGCTTCTGTAAGAAAGCAAACAGAGTCAGGACTATAGCTCATCATATCTCTGTGATGGAGGAGCGTGAGTCTCCAAGCTGTCAGCCCATCTTCTTCCAGCACAATCCCTACCTGATGTATGATGCAATATTCATACTCTGATCCTACAAAATGAGTTGAAGGAGATGTTACATAAAATTCAACATTTTACTTTTAATACATTGTACTAAAGATAAACATGATTCTTTTTTCATTGTTATTCCATTATGCACTATGGGTGTTTAGTGTGACGGTTTAAATTACCGTTACTATAGATATGATTGTTTTTGAATTACTGAATTGCTGTGTGTCATAGAATGTGTCAAGAATAGGCGTCAGCGTCCTTTACTTGCAAAAAAAGGAACAATTACTGAATCTTCTGGAATGCACTGGGCAGGGTATACCCTCAGCACATTGCCACTTCGACCCCATTCACAACCATACTGGTTTTGGGATCCTGTGCAATTAGAGAGTTTCACTGATTTATCCTCATGCTGACAAAGGGTTACAGCATAGAAAACAAAATAATAAATTGATGTGAAACAGTGTAACTCTGAGTAAAACTCCCCAATTTGAATAAATGTTTCAAAAATGTGTTAATTAGAGAGTTTTTTATTTCCAACATTTTTATTGTCTTGTTCCTCTAGCAAGTAAAAATCACACCTGACTGTAGAAACATCACCAGCTATTTATTAATGTGCCCATCTCCGAGTTTGTGTCCTCCCCACAGAAACAACACCAAGATTTTATTCTACAAGCTCTTATTATGAGCTAAAGTTTTATTAACAATAACTTGAGAAAACTCTTTCTCAAAGATAAATGGGTAGTGTGCGTACATCCATCCATCCATCCATCCATCCATCTTCTTCCGCTTTATCC